AATCAGTATTTAGCAGCTAAACGTAAGTTTGACCATTACAAATCAGTATTTAGCAGCTAAACGTAAGTTTGAACGTTACAAATCAGTATATAGCAGCTAATCGTAAGCTTGACTGTTTCAAATCAGTACTTAACAGCTAAACGTGAGTTTAACTGTTACAAATCACTACTAGGCAGCTAAACATAAGTTTGACTTACAAATCAGTACTTAGCAGCTAAACGTTAGTTTGAACGTTAGAAATCAGTATTTAGCAGCTAAACGTAAGCTTGACTGTTTCAAATCAGTACTTAGCAGCTAAACGTAAGTTTAACTGTTACAAATCACTACTTGGCAGCTAAACATAAGTTTGACTTACAAATCAGTACTTAGCAGCTAACTCGTAAGCTTGACTGTTTCAAATCAGTACTTAACAGCTAAACGTAAGTTTAACTGTTACAAATCACTACTTGGCAGCTAAACATAAGTTTGACTTACAAATCAGTACTTAGCAGCTAAGCCACTTAAATGATAGGAATGATTCACGCTAAGAATGTGATGCTAGACTGCTCCGCTACGCTTGAATCGTGTGCATGTGAGTAGGGTTTTCTGTCCTGGACTGAATTTCTCAGCGGCGGAGGTACGGGTAGTCGATTGTTTAGCTCTAGTTCAGGTATACTATTGTGCATCCACAAAAGGTTTCCTGTTATTGATAAGCTAAAATGCCCTGTTTAGTTACTAAAAGAAACAAGCTCAAGTGCGTGATTTCACTTAAAATCTCACACATTTATCGCGGATTGAACATTTTCTCTCTGTAAATACTACCATTACGTAACATGGTTGTGAACTACCGTTGGTTATTGAAGTGGTGACCTTTTCTAGACTGCTTGTGATTCGATAAACGGTTAATTATGGTCTGAATAAAACTGCACCTGTATTCATACAATCTGCTCTTCAATTACTCCGGTTCATCCAACCCCCTCTTACGGCTAATGAAGAAAACACAGCTGTGCCTACTACGATGCAAGGGTTGAGTCACTGATCGTATTGTGAATTTATTTTTGTGTCTAGCTTGTTACGACTGGTATCTTATGAAAGTTTGAGTATTATATATTAAACTTTAGAGTTGGTAACTTTATACATATTTAGTTTCTGTCTACGCTTATCTGCTACAAGAGGGAACTTTACATTACTTTGTTGTTATTAATGTTATGTCTCCAGAACTCTCAGAAATAGTTTTTACAGACTCTAGTACCAACCTGATATATAATATTACAATAAAAGTCATTCCATTTGAATGAACTTGATGTTAAACATACATATATACAAGCTTATATTTTACAGGAAACTCTTAAAAGCTAGTACTCCAGGTCAGAAATCCCACACTCGTTTGTTTGTTCATTCTACGAAAATGACTTGAAATTATTGTTTGCTTACAATATATGCGATGGTTTGTGATGATTTTCGAACCAGTGAAGTTTGCGCTTTCTACTTGTTCGCACGTCGTTAAAAAAGTAATGCCTGTTTTAAAATATCTTGACGTTTCTGTAGTGAAAAATACATTATTTTTAATTTCACTGTTCACTTTACTTATTTATGAGATGATTTTTTTTTAAATCAAATTTAGCGTTTTATACCAATTAGTAATTATGTCAAAGCTTCTGTAAAGTATTCCACAAAAAGCAAACACGAATTCTACGATTTCGTCTTGTAGTCCTGGAGGTTTAGGACTAACAATGTTAAGCCTGTTTGTCAGTAATGAGGCAAGCTTTCAGACACAAAGACAGTGAATGTAAGAGAGGAGAAGGACAATAAAGACTTGGGCTCGCGACCTTCCGGTCCCTGAGGCTGTTCTCACGGGTGCTTTGAAAACTTCCCGTGCCCCTTCGCAGTCTTAAAAAAAAAAAGGTTTCCTTTGTTGCTCTTCCACATCCCATAGAATGTAGGCCAAGTGAACTAGGTTACATCATCCGAATTCGAACACACTGTGTGAATGTTAGACATGAATTAGTCAATGAACGAAATTCGTCTAAGATTTTTACATTATTTTATTACAAACATAAAAAGTTACGACTTCAAACCTCTTGGTGAGAGCTATTTGGGTGCAACAATCCAAATGAGTAAAAATCAACTATTGAGTCTATGATAAAGGATTTAACAGCGCACCTTTAACCAAATTATATAGTACCGGCGAAGTCCACCTTCTGCACCATATTGAGTAATTTTACTTTTTTTTATCTTGCTAGCCACAACATTCAGAGTAAGAGTCTGCTATCTAACGAAAATATATAAGAAATGACAACAGTAAGTAGATGGGCGCCGTCGGTAATTTTAGGGTTAATGGAAGTGTACAATCGTTCAACTACGTTTTGTTATTGTTGTTTAAAAACCTGGTGTGCCTACAATTGAAGGTTCCAAAACAGTTCATACGTGTAACTGAATCATTTCTTAATTGTCATCAACTAGATGAATTTTGCAGGGAATTTTTCGGGCATGTTATGAACACTCGGCATACTTAACGAGTTGTGTTTATATTAGCATTCAACATGTTATGAACACTCGGCATACTTAACGAGTTGTATTTATATTGACATTCAACATGTTATGAACACTCGGCATACTTAACGAGTTGTATTTATATTGGCATTGAACATGTTATGAACACTCGGCATACTTAACGAGTTGTATTTATATTGACATTCAACATGTTATGAGCATTCGCCATACTTAACGAGTTGTATTTATATTGGCATTGAAAATGTTATGAACACTCGGCATACTTAACGAGTTGTATTTATATTGACATTCAACATGTTATGAACACTTGCCATACTTAACGAGTTGTGTTTATATTAGCATTGAACATGTTATGAACACACGCCATACTTAATGAGTTGTATTTATATTGGAATTCAACATGTTATGAACACACGCCATACTTAACGAGTTGTATTTATATTGGAATTCAACATGTTATGAACACACGCCATACTTAACGAGTTGTATTTATATTAGCATTCTACAAACAGAAGGTTAATCACTAGTTTGCTTTCTTTACCACTTGCTTCAACTTATCTCAAATATACACACTAGGTTTTGTAGCATTTACTCTATTTATATTTTGCATTCTCTGTTTTCAAAACCCAGATTTAGATGAAAGTTCAATACCGAACGTCGTATTGAGCTGACCACACACACACACATAGCGGAATTTGTTCGAACGTTTCATTTTTATACTGGAACATTAAAAGATTATTTGTTCTGGAGATTCATTTATTTTCAGTTGCCTAAATCAAACTAAAGTTTGCTTGTACTTTCATATTCGGTTCCGTGTAAAATGTATTCGACCAAATCTGCCTTATTCTAAATACTAACATAAGATGAATGAAAAAAACAAGCTAAGTTTATCCTACGTAAACTTAAAACGTTTAAATCTAAACCATAATTTTATAGTATCCGACTAGATGTGTGTTCGCTTATAACTGGAGAACAGCTAAACCAATTGTCACCAATCCTGACAAGTACCCTTAGGACATACAGGGAGTGGTATAAAGGTATTGATGCACGAATCTAACCCCCCTCCAATATCATATCCGAGAGCTCCTACGTCTTCCGTGAACGGGTGCGTCAACTTAAATATTATAAGTACGAGACTATTGATTCAAACTAGGCCTTATTTTAATATTACAGGAGTGGGTTTTACTCATCAAAGTTAAAACTGCTCTATCACAAATTTATTCACAAACCAGAGAAACCTCTTTCGTTTGTGTTTGTTTTAATAACTACACAGAAACATATTGGGCGAGAAATTTGCAACTTTATAATTCTACAGTGGCAAAGCCACTTAACATTGGTATTATTTATTATTAGAAATATACACTTTGACTGGAAAACTCTCTTATCTTTAAGGACGTCTCAGATGTAAAATCTTTAATATTTAACGTTCTGCTAACAAAATGTACATGTTTTGGTCTCTTGGAATAGTTTAGAAACTAATTGATGTCGTTTTCAATAAAACATAAAACTTCACGACTCAAGCTTGAAATTATTACTTTGGTACTCAAAAAGATATACCTGACATCAAACAGTTGTGTGGCACGTTTGTGTGTGTGTATATGTGTGTGTGTGTGTGTGTAATTTCTTGCTTTCCAATTTTTCTCTTGAGAAAAACGCAGCTTTTAAAAGAACCGGATTTATGTTAAAGTCTGTGTACAGTCACATTTCTAACAGCGGACTGTCATGGACCAGCCATTTTAATAACAAACAGTACACTGGTTAAATCGAGTAACTCAACACCACAAAATACACACTCGTAACTTACAAGAGGAACAGAGGGGGTAAACCCTACTTTTTCATTAAAGGAGAATTATCTCCTTCACCCTTTTAGTAGGAATAGTACCAAGCTATATGATGTATTTTTGTGAACTCTCCCCTCGCCTTGGAAACTGAAGTTACTCCTCTGAGACAGTCCAGTTCTTTATGTTTCTTTTCTTAAGATTACTGCGGTAAACATTATAACTTTAAAACATTTAAAATTACAATCGCATGAGAATATATCACTTTTAAAATTGTAATTCTAAGTTTCTTATATAATAAAGCTATTCCTCAATACATGAACATGTCGGAAAGATTGTGATGATACTTTGACTTTGTACAGAAATATCAGTAAAACCAACTAAATACCTTCGTGTTAGTAAATAACACTTTTGCTCATACCTGTACTTGTTTGTAGAGCCATAACTACTTTCATTAAGTAAATACAGAAAGAAATGTAAATATCTCAGACGACTCAGAAATGGAACAAGTACTCGTCCAATCCCAGAGAAAGAGAGGATGAAAATTGGTTTAAAATATCTAGTGCTTTTAAAGTCTAACGATCAGACGATCTTTTACATCCACAGCCTATCACAGCTATTAGGCTTTGTCCACCACGGGGAATCCAACCCCAGATTTTATTGTTGTAAGTCTGTAAACTGACCAGTGGCCCACTGGGGGAACAGTGGAGTAATTAAAATCAAACTTACCCCTGAATTCCTGGAGGAAGGGTCTTCTGAAGAGGCTGATGCATACCAGGTGGCAGTTTAGATAATCCGTCTCCTTCTCGTGTCTTCTGATGACGCAAAAGTAACAATCGGCCAAGATCTTCGCACCACACCGTTAGAAGTGCTATAGGGAAGAGACAAAAAATTCAGGTTTTGAAGGTAAATTATTAGTAATTATATCTTTAAACAGCAACCTAAACAATTATTTCAATTTTGCCCTGACAGTCTAGTCATTTGATACCAAAGGACACTGAACTGTCATATTCGTTTCTTTGGTGTTTTAATAACGAATACTGAAAGCAGATATATAAATATACATATTCAGCAATAAGTTGAAATAATTCAGAAGTACGTACAGAATGGGGGGTCTTATTTCCTTCCACGTCAAGAGTTTTTCACTCAGTGAGGTATTACTTGGAGAATGGCATCTTACTTGAAGGAATATGACGTACAAATATTTCCATAAAAGATAAAAATGGTATTATGTGTATACAACGAAACAAACTTTACAATCTTTTGAGTACAGACATGACCAGTAAAAAAGGATTCTTCTGAAATTTCTCTGAGTTGGTTATATTCAGAAACAATTTCTTCAGATCGCACAGGACGACTAAAAATTTCAGTGGCATACAATACGTCTGCTTGTTATCAACCAGAGAAAATGGTTGTTGGAATAACAATTTCAAGTGTCTGATTCGAATAACACAAGTTTTACGAATTCACTAACTTGAATATAAGAATAAAACGAGAGGCTTAGAACCATAACACTCACAAACTTCTCTTACACGAGATAATGATAATAATACCAAAAACATGTGCGTAGCTATGTTACCCCCGTTGACAACCGGATTTTCCACAACCATCAGTTCATCTAATTTATAAGTTAAGGCATGCGCAGATTCCAAGCATAGCTAATCACCAGTATTAGAGAAAAATAAACTAAAATTCACCTGCGGCGTTGCGAATGCATGAACATTCGTAATTGGTCTACATGATAAGGGTTAAACTTTTTGTTCTCAACTTTCACTTTCAACAAGTACACGAGTCTGGTCGGTGATTTTGACCAATCACAGCGCGAGAGATCAATTTTAATCTGACCAGTGGCATGACCTCTACCTGCATTAGAACTGAAAATAATGTGCATCTTAAACAGTCATGACCTTCATACAGGTGTTTTCAATCCACTGTAGCCTAATGAATGTAGATGGTTTGACATATTCGTGCTACACTTTCAGCTTACCCTTCATGCGGCGTGAGCATTCCGAGTAAGCAATATAATCATATTTTAACGTTCTCTTTGTCTCTTTATATTCTTCTTTTTTTTAAAGAATAAAGCTTATGGTATTAACAATTATTTGATTTTTAAAACATTACACAATTACACGGGGCAATAGCACTATAAATCCTGTATGGCTAGTAGATAAACAAGTAAAATTACACCCGCTAGGACTGTAAAGTGACAAATGTACGTGAAATGCATGTTGCTGTATGAAGTTTTTCAACATGATGCATGTCATGTAAATATTAGTTTTCAAATTCAGTGAGAATTATTTGCCCATTATGGATGTATATTACCTTTTAGAATTTATGTTTCGCAACATTATGTTTTGCACACAAGTTTCTTCTATTTATGTTAACAACAAAACTCTGAATCAACCAGACTACTTGTGTAATTTTTGGTAACAAAGTAGGGTCCACACCAGATCCGGAAAAGTTGGAATAAAGTTCAGAACCTGTAGGACTTGGTGTGAGGAGTCGTTTTCTGTGGCTTTTTCTATGGATACAGTGGTCGTAGTGGGTTTTTTATCTCCTCAATGTTAATCAGTATCTCCGCTCTGGTAATGCCTGTCCGCGTTTCTCAACGATTCTATGAATATATCCGGTCTATTGGTGGACGTGTTTCTCTTCGGCCATTTTTATTAGCACCAATTATTCTCTGTCCTCTTTTACGGCAGGTCTGGTAGTTAGAGCACTCGACTCACAATTTGAGCGTACGAATCATTGTCACCGAAAATGCTCGCCCTTTCAACTGTGGAGGCGTTATAATGTTACGGTCAATCCTACTATTCGTTGCTAAAAAGAGTAGTCCAAGAGTCGGCGGTGGGTGATGTTGACTAGCTGTCTTTCTTCTAGTCTATCACTGCTAAATTATGGATGGCTAGCGCAGATAGCCCTCGAGTAGCTTTGTGCGAAATCCAAAAACAATCTTTTTAGGCTTTCTTTCTCTGCAACTAGTATGCAGTCGCTATCGTTTCAACATCTATTGCACTGGTTGGAAGTCGACAATTTTGCTACTGTTGCGTCAGCGAGGTCACGTGACTAGTATCACGCCACCTCTTTCTCGAACCTTCGTGAATTGTCGGGATATTATTGGGGGTAGTCTGGTATATATAAGATGGTCACAACGTGACGGGACAATGTGTAGGTAATGAGTAACTGAATGTATGTGGACAAAATATTGTTGGCTACGTGAGACGTGAGCGTTTGTTATAGAGCGACTGTTGAAATTAAGTGTATCGTAAGTTGTATTCGGAAAGAATAAACCAGTTTTATTTAAGAAAGGACTTGTGTCGCTAAAGTTTCGTCGGAACGAAGTTACGGAAAATTAACTAACGAACGGAGACGTAACATTACCTTACACTTGCAAGTAAGCTTTGAATCTGTTGCTTCTGACATCCGTCCTCTGAAATATAAACAATTTTGAGAGAAAATCTGCCTGTTGACCTCACAGTTCCCGATAATTACTGGCTTTGCGAAACCCTCTATATATATTGTATTACAATAACACCATGACCTCATGCAAAGTTTAGTAAAAATGTCTCTATCTACCAAAAAATGAAATCATTGTATCCTTAAAAATTGCTAAACAAGTTGAAATACCGGATGTGTGCTTCCTGCAGGTGGATGTACGTGGTCTATCTGACTCATATATTTGTTGTTTCGGTAGCACGTACCTTCTAAATGTCAAAAAAATATCACAACTCATTTTGAATTAATTTTAAGAGTTTTCTTTAGTTCAGACTCATTCTTTATATCACTTCAAAGTCTGGACTCGTTTTCAGGAGTATTCAGTCATGTTGGTAGAAGTTACCTGGAACATAAGACATTTCTTTTGTATTTCTATATTATGCAAATTAGCCACAGTGGTAATGTTACACAACATGTGCCAGAATGCGTCTTTGTATCTATTTCATTATATTTTCATACAAAAAGTATAGTATGAAGATATTTCTTCTGGTAAAAAGGCCAAAGCCTAGATAATACTATATAAAGGGTATGTGCTATACCTTAAGTTCAAAACTGAACAAAACTTTTTAATGGAATTTTATTTGATTCTTTATGTAAACAATTTGAAGAAAAAAATTTCCAACTCTCTAATTACAAAATCCTCTAAAAAGAGACGCTATTTGATAGTTAACAAAAAAATTCGGTTTAATCCTTTCGTTTGTTTGGTGTTAAGCCCACAGTGGGCTATCTGTGCTGTGCTCAACATGGGTATCGAAACCCGGTTTTTATCGTTATAATTTTTTTGGACTTACAGTTGAGCCACTTGATCCTTTCGTATTAAGCTATTTCATAAAATTCATTTTTAATTACAAGGGAAACAGCAGTAAATTGTGACATGTCTTTACAAGCTTTGTTCAAAGCCAAAATCTTATTCAATGTTCACTACTTTCAAGTTTGTTAAATTAACGCCAGGTAGAGATAAAGATACTATACATTCAGTGTGAGAGAACATTCCCATTAAAAACCTCTAGGTAAAGGCTTTCGAAACTAATTTTGTGGATCAAAAAGGTTATTCTGGAATTATTTAACAGTCACATCGCGAAAAACCGGATTTAGGTACTCATAGTGAGCACAGCACATATAATCCATTGTGTAGTTTTGTGCTTAACAACAAACAAACAGACAAAAATTATTCAACAATAATTAAATTTAGAATTAAGGTAAGCCTAAGTGTATTGAGTGACGCGAAAGTAAAAGCAGTTTCAGATATCGTCCGTTACATCGTCACCATTCCATACTAAACTAACTAAAGCATCTTATATCAATAAGATTATTTGCACTTACGTCAAGTGTTGTCAAAGAATTTGTATTGCCACTGTTAGTGTTGTACTCCTATGTATGATAATTTTATTTATATAAAAATTGTGGGACAGCAGTGCTTCTTACTTACGAGTCACTAGTATTGCTAAACCGTCTCCCATCTTTTGTGTTTTTTTATCTCAGATAATTAACCAAATCTCTGATTACATAGCAAAATATAATTTAATAAAAGAGTCCAAGTTGACACCTGTAAAAGTTTTAAAAACAGAGTATGAAATATGTTCGTTTGAAAACGTTACAACATGAAATGTAACCAAAATACTTTTGTACGAAATTTCTGTGGATTTGTTATAGGTAGAGGGCTGTTTGTGTTCCGAAAGATGGCTGAATATTTGAGACATAGGATTCGGGTATAAATCACAACATTTGCTGTAACATGTAGTCCCTCTTTTTTTCTGTACTAGTTGAGACAAATTGTCAAAACGATTTCGTATCAAGCGTGGAGATTGTGCAAGGAATAAAACAGGGAGAAAATATTTTCTTTCGAGCTAAAAAACTTAACCAATCGTCTTAGATACTGATGGAAAAAGAACGCCTCGCCGATGTCTATCTACTACCACAAGAGGTTGAACACTTGCGGGAGAGATGCATCTTTCATGAGATCTTCTTCTGACAGAAGACTGCTGCAAATGTTACCAGGCATGCAATCGATCGTCCAGACTCCACGGTAAATTATTCAGTTCACCGCAAGCCTTTCTTTCAGTCTCACATTACTTCCCACACGCATACACAGAGCAACGACGGTATGAGTAAAAAACTGTGTTATTGGTCAACCCGCGGAGTTTCGATGCGATTTTTTTTCTCTTTTTAACATCCTTGCTGCATAAACATGCAGGGTTATTCCCCGAGGTCTACCTTTTATTTGTGAGAAGATCGTTGAAACATTTTTGAGATCCAAGACTTGTGCCACATCGGTTCATAAAGATAGTTAAGGTGTAATAAAAATTGTAGCGGCGCTATCAAACTCTCCAGGGTACAGGGTGAACCCTACATTAACTAGATTTTGGGAAGAATAAT